GTGTCGCTAAAGTTTCGTCGGAACGAATTTACGGAAAATTAACTAACGAACGGAGATGTAACAATATAATATCTCAGCAAATAGAAAAGGTAAGAGGTTTTTATTTTATATTCTAGCTTGTCAATATTGGTAATTTGAGTTTCTAATTTGTTAAAACTATAGACTTTACATTTTATGATGCCCCCAATACAATTTGAGAAAAAACAGAAGATGACGTACCATGTGACACAAAAAAAATCAATATTTAGCTTCGTTTTTATGTTTACTTTTGAATAAAGAAATTGATTAATGTATAGGTGTGGGCTATCTGCTGTGTCCACTGAGGGGAATCAGACCCCTGATTTTAGCATTTTAAATCTGAAGACTTACTGCTGTTCCACCAGGGGACCACCTGATAGGAATGGGCCCAAAAGAGAACTAATGTCTGGAAGCAGATGTTCTGGAATGGATATCCCCTTCATGGTTTATGTAAGTTGCTACCATGGAATTGTCTGAGTGGACCATAACCATAAGATCCACCAGGAGGAGAAGAAATGTGAGCATGCCCATTGGACTGCAAGCATTACCAGAATGCTGATTTGGAGAGAACTCTCTAAAGATGTCCAAGAACCTGAAGTGAGAGAGTTGTATGGGGATGCTCCCCACATGGTGAAGGATGAGTGTGGAATAGAAGAAGTCAGGCTTGAGAAGAGGTAAGGGAAAAACCATTGGTGGAGTATGAACAATCCAGCCACCAGACAAGTTCTTCCAGGAGTTGGGTTGGAAGGAGAACCCATGAAGATAGTGGATCCTTTGACAAGTTTCATTAGTCAAGTAGGGCCTACTGGAGGGGACACATATGAGTGGGCTGAGTGAAATAGACTTCTCCAATAGGCTTGAAACCACCCCATTCAGAAGTTGAAGATGGACTGGAACTGAGGAAAAATGAAAGGCATGATTTGGAGAGAAAAGCAAGAGAGGAGAATGAGGAGGACTAGACTGTGGGTCAACACTAAAAAGACCCATTTGTATGGAACAAAATGAGCTTACAAATGAGCAAACTGGGACAGACAGGGTCCCACAGGATCTGAATAGACCAGATGTTCACCGACTGTTAGGACAAAGGGAAGGACTTTGGGTGGAGGGAGAACAGAAGAGGGGGAAGGTGAGAACTGAACAGGGAGGAGGGACAGATGAGGTCATTGGACAGATATGGACAAACTTGAAAATAATAAGGAAAAGGTATCACTGACACTGCCAAGGATGAAGTAATGGGGCAAAACGAAGGAGGTGGGTAAACTGACATGGGAAGATAGGGTATCTCTACTCAAGAGGTCCCAATAATAAGAAAAAAGTGAGAGATGAAAGTGCAGAGGAAGTTGAAGGTGCTGTGGAAGAAAAAAGGAAAGTACAAAGTCATGAAGTTTGGGTACTGAACAGTGATAAGAACAACAAAGAATGCTTCTTCTATACTGAAGATGTGACCCCAAGGACTGGATGTCCAGGAAGTGGAAGGGAGAAAAACTTTAAATTATTAAGTAGGAAACCATCAGCTGCAGAGAATTTAGCATAATATTGCACAAAAATCTGTTCTAGGAAGGATGAAACCTGAATGAAAATGTCAGGGGAAGGTGGTAAAAAACCTAGAAATTGCAAGTGGAAGGGTTTTGTAAAAGTGATCGAGAAGCATTATAAGTAAAGCCATAAAGAAAAAACAAATGGTACATATCTGGGTAATAAGTTCTTAGAAAATCTGAAAAGGATTGATTGTATTCTTCAAAAGAAATGGATGTACCCTAGGTAAAGGCAGAGGGTAAAAAAAAAATACTTCATTTCATCCACCTAAACTTCAGATTCAAAATCCTTTGAAGGGAATGGTGTGACAGGGATGGAAGAAGAGAGCCCTGTCAGCAATACTGAATCCACCACAAGTTGGATTGGCTGTCGCAATATCAACAGACAAAGAACTGCCTAAACTCTGGGTAATTGTGAGTGATATTTGTACTAATTTCAGCAGAATAAGAATTCATGTTAAACTGTGAATTCAGATTGAAAGGTTGAAAACACAAAGTTAAGTTGTTGAAGTAAATTACTTCAATAAGTTTCAGCAAAATTAAACATATCTTTGCACGATTGTGCTGAAGAAAAGAATGAAGATTTTCATGTGCAAATATAGAGGGAGCATTTGTGGAAGGAGATATTATCACACTCCTATTGGTAGAGGGTTTTGCTGCATGATATGTTATCATGCTGTAGTGCAAACTTACCTCTTTCACATGAACTACTGGTGAGAGTTTTCACAATGCTGGTGGCACGCATGTCTCTCAGGTAGATCAGCAAGACTTCAGAAGGAAAATAGCTATCTGTGTATGGAGGTGAGTGATTGTATCGGAATTGCAAAAACTAGGTATAAAGGCAGCTATACAAGAATATTGTTCAAATGTGATGTAAGAAAGGTGAAAGATTCAAAATACCATTGATTTCCTTCTGCTTTATTTGGTTAACCAATTTGTTACAGTAAACAACTAAAAATGTTTTTTAAACATTTTACCTTCTTTTGTGTATCTTAGCCTAGCTCTACTTGAAACAGATAATATATACTAGAAATATGTATAAGAAAATACATACTAAAGCTTAGGGGAAATATTTTGGTGACTTTATTAATACAGAATTTTTTCAAAAGAAATTTAATAAACACCTGTTTCCCTACTTTTATCCACAAACTTACCTGTATCTTAGTCAAATGCAAGGTCCTTCAACTTTAACCAAACAAGAAAAAACTAAATTCTTTAATCAAGCTTGACATTTATTTCCTCTGTTTTATAAAAAAGTACCTAACTAACCTATGACTTTGAATCTTTTCAAAAAGTTTTTCCTGGTTAGAAAGTAAGGCATCACCGACTCGGAACTTCCAACCTATTTCTTTACATAGCTGGTGTTCTCGTCTCTTTTTTTCTCTCATTTTTATTTTCTCTCTTCTTACAGCAGTCTTTGTATCTTCAATTCTCTTCCTTTAATTATATAAAAAAGCAATATCATAAGAACAACTAAAACAAAACTTGAAGACAAATTTCCTTCTCTTCATTTTGTCATCAATTTATTGTATGTTTGCTCTTTTAATAGACTAGTTTACATATCTTTCAGAATTTGTCCCAGCATATGAATTTAATAGATGTGTGCAAAAATGAAAAATGTTAATTTTAGATGAGTTTAGAATAATTTGCTCTTTAGGAAAAAAAAAACTGACAAAAAATTTCACAATTAACCCAATGTACACAGGTGGGAATCCAATTGCACATGCCATGATGATTACAGTGTGCCATTCAAAAAGGTGTTATGCATTTCATGCCAGAATTACACTCTTCATTTTAAACTATACTGCTGATTTAAGAACAATTCATGGTAGAACAGAGTAAAAACCATATGCAATACTAAAACACCTACTGATGTGCATTTTGGAGATTTAATAGATTATGCAAATAAAATCTGTATGACGAATAAAGGTATTTTTATTCTTCACATGAACATCTCCTTGAGTTCTGACTTGTCAGTTTGAGACAGACATGTCTTGAGTACAAATACTTTTGTAACAAATCTGATTTTTTGTGTACAACAGACTTGTATATTTCACTAAAAGCTTGCTACATTTTGTACTGATACACATAGTAAATTTGGAATTATTCCTACTCCAATTAACTTTTTATCATGATGACATGATTCTTAATTTTTTTGCCTACTGTTTAATGCCAAATGCAAGCCAAAAAACATTGCATTATAAACTCTGAGAATACACACAGGTATGCAAAAACAATTAGACTGTATTTAATACTTTTTAGCCTGTTATTTCGCACAAGTGATATATTGGAATTCTTCTTTAGGAATAGAACAGCCTTGTTAAACTGGCTTCTCTACGTAACAAAACATACTCATATAAAAAAAAAAAGAATTGTTTTCACCCTGAATCTATGGAACTGTGTTGCTAATAAACTGTTTATCACTTGATTAATTTAACTAAAAAAAATCAAACCCTCTTGCATAGTAACTATTTATAATTAAAACTTTGAAAGTTCAACTAAGAATGTAATTATAAATGTTTTTTCTCCCTAAACATTAACCAACAATAAATTTTTATTATTATCTATAAACTAATTTCAGCTCTTTATGTGTGTGTGTGTGTCTATATATATCTTAGCAAAGATACTCAGCAATGCCAGGCTTAAAAAGTAATGCAATAAATGAAGCCATGAGCTAACTCTCTCTACTATTTCAGATCATGGAGTATGAACCATCTATCTGATGCATAGGTACCTATGCTATGTGCAACATTAAATGTCACTTTGATTTGATTGTTGGTTTATGTATTTTGCTACCAATAATGTTGATCAGTTGAGTCTTCACTCATAGCATTAAGGTAAACTAAAACTGAAATGGCTGTCAAGCTTGCAGACTATTCATTAGTCTGTATATAATTTCAACTTGAAGTTTTGAGGGTCCACCTCATTTCCTCTACCAAATTTCAACAAAACTAGTTATGCCTCTTCTTCACGACAACTTGTAATATCAGAGAGAGGGATCGACAATTCTGTTTTATATACAAAGATTCTAATAAAAACAAGTATTAGCTGAAATATATATATAGATATTTTACACAAAAAACCATAAACTTGTGTTTGGTATCACATGTCTATCTATGCCATGTAATAGCTGAAATAACTCCTAATTCTTTTTATACCAGAAGTTGAAGGATCAAATACTGCATGTTCATATTCTCTTTTTGTTAATCACATGGTAATTTCACAATTCATCTATGCATTTAATACATTTTTTAATGAAATTTTCAATTATTTTAAAGGTTTCTTAACATTTATACATGAAGGTAAAACAGCAGTTTATTGCACACACACACACATGTATATATTTTGTGCAATATTGGGCAAATAAAATGTACGAACAGCAAAACTGTAAAAAAGAAAAGAAAAAAGACTACCAAATAATCGGATATTAAAGACAAGAAAGACTAGGCAAGCTTACACAACATATACAATAAAATTATATACATGCCGTAGAAACTGAACACTCATTTTTTTATGCATCTCTTAATCATAAGTTTTGAAATATCTAACAATCACATCCAACAACTATGAGTTTATACACCACACAACAGAATATTTATAAATAATCTAAGTCTCAAATGAAAGTAATAAGTGTTAATCAAATTACTTTCTTTTCTTCAGTAATTTTTAAACTGGAGGTAAAGAATGTATTCTGAGTGCATGTGAGAATGTTCACAAAACAAAATTTAAAATATTACATTACAGTATATTTAGATGTATGTCTGTTTGAACCTGTGGTGTACTACAATCATTGATATTTAGTAATAGTGGTATATTGATTTTTTTTTACTGGTATATGTAATTGCTTGTGGTGGGGGGCATCAAGTATCACAGGCAAGGGGAAAGTGAGCATAACTAAAATGTTTGATAACTACTTCTTATATTCATAAATTCAGAAGTTAGAAGTGCTTCAGTTAACAAGATGGCACACCTACAGGTCATATGTACATATTTACCTTATTTGCTGTTGTCTTAAAATGGCTGCAGCAGTCATTTTTATTGGTGCTGGTGCAGAAAATTGTGGCAGACATGTTGGTGAAACAGGTAATCGTGGATTTTTAAAAGGCCATCTGGTTTCTCTAAGGATCTTCTCATCTTTTTTTATGTCCTCATGAACCTTATTCATTCTTGATGGCATGTCAGTGGTGTGAAGATGAAATGGCTGACACACTGTATATCTTGGTGTGTGAATGGTTTGTTTTGGTCTACTACTGAAAGCTACAATACTAGGTTTAACTTGACTGGCTGATTTACTTTTAACTTTATTACTGCAATTAGATTTATCAGTAAAGTCATCAGTTTGTTTACATGCTGGCAAGCTCATGCAAGAGACTGACCTTGTAAATTGAAACTTCTTCGTGCTAAAAGGCAATGTGGAATTTTTTATCATCTCTTCTGCTCTTAGCTTGATCCTTATTTTCCTCAGCTCCTCTTCAGCTTTCATTTTCAGATCAATTTTTTCACCCAATATATGTAAGGGGGGAGGATTTGCTCTAAACTCAGAATTGGTTTCCAACAGATCTGGAGCTGACTTACATATAGAACGACTTTTATGCTGTTGTAAAAAATTTAATGGTTTCACTACTGCTTTTAATTTTTCTGCATTATAAATTTTTCTCTTTTCCAATCTATTTTTATTTTTTTCAACCATTTTTTCATAAAGTGGGAGATAAGTATGGAGTGGAACTGGATTAGCATGAAATAATTTTCTTGGTTCTTGTTTTTCTTTTTCATTGGAATCTTTTTCTCTGCTCAACTTTGAGGTCCTTACTCTATGTTTCTCATCTAAGGTCAAATTAAATGGCCGAGGAATTGTGATCTTCTTTGTCCAAAGATTTTCAGGTTTTAGTGTTGTCTTATAAGCATAATTATGTTTTTTATGTTTGACCTTGAATGGCATATTTCTAAGTTCTTGTACATTACAGGTCTCTGTTCTATACATCTGAATCCTTTTATCTAAATTTGACAACTTTGAAATGTTTGTTTTCTCATTATTATTATGATGCCATTTTTGATAATTAAAATGATGATGACATGGCCTGCCTGAATGTTGTTGATGTTTAAACATAGAAAACCTTGAAACTGGAAAATTTTGAAAATTCAGATAATGTGCAGTTTGCTGCTCATATGCTGATTGACAGGTAGTTTGCATGTGCAAGGATTCTTTTTTTTCACATTCATTACTCTCTAATGCTTTATACCACTCAAGAGGGAAGTTGAAAGAAGAAATATCATACTCGTTTAAGGCAAAGTTGTCTTCTAAACTTCGATTATTCAGAAATTTTGAATTAGAGTGCTTATCGTTTGTTGAAACTGTATTTGTTCCTGTCTGAAATTCTATGAAAAAAGGTGCTTCTGAAGATTCACATTCATTCTCAGTCTGAACTTCTTTATTACTAACAAAATATTTCATACTGTAATCAGACTTTTCAGATGGGGTTGACCTAAAAATATCTTCATATATGGATTTTATCTTCTGAACAGCTTGATTTTGAGCCTTTTCTAAATCCATGAGTTCTTGAGAAAATACCTCTGTTTTAAGAACTGGTAAGGAATTGTTCAGCAAAGATTTATTGTCACACACATTTACAAGTTGGTCCTGTTCATTGGTGGAACGTTTCATACCTGAAGAATGAACTTCCTGCAACTTAAATTTGCTGGAGCATTTAAAACCATTTTCTACCATTTCCTGTACAAAAGTAGAACTCCTACTGAGTCCATCACTAACTGTTGGTTTGACATAATGACTTATATCTTCCTTTACATCCATGTTGAGCAATTAACTTGCTATTTTATAACATCTTTTAGATATCCTCATTTTACTGATTTCTTGTAGATGATTTATGCATCACACCTAGCATTGATGGTAAAAAAAAAACAGAAAATTTAAAATTATGTATAAAAAGTATAAAACAAACATAAATTTTATACTAAAACAGTTCCTTTTCATATATTTCATATAAAATGATACAATAGTGGAAGACCACATTCTAATATTTCCACTTCAGATAAAACATAGTTAACTGTTACGACTTTAATACTTTTCTAAAATTACTCTATTAATACATATTAGATACTTAAAAAGTATAGGAAAGTACAAGACAACAGAAGCCCATTCTATTCATCTAGGTCATATCTCTTCATCTACAAAATTGATGAATTAAAACAAAACTAAATATAGCCATTTACATTTAAATAACCATCCAATCTAAGTTTACACAAGCTACTAGTAATAGTAACCATAACATCACCATATTAAAACCTCATTGTAAACTAAACTTTAAAATACTCATCTGAATTATTACTACTACTGCTATTAGTTTGAACACTTTGTGAAATGAATAAATATTAGGAACAAACCTCTCACATAATGAGGGGTTGTATGTAAGGTGTTTTTTTATTTTTTATTTAAAAATAAGTCATTATTGTCTAATCTTTCAAACATCTGTTTATTCTTTACAATTATTTCAGTTTGGAGTATTAGAAATGCAAGCAGATCATGGGCCAAACGGCCTTGAAATGATAACTTTTTCTTACTGTTGTGCTTTATCATCAGATTCATCACTTTTATACTCTGACTTGAGATAATTGCTCTCTTCATCATTATTTTCCTGGATCTCTGAGTCAGCGTGTTCACAATTATTATTATCATGTTGACTGATCTCTTCTTTCTCTTTTGGCAACACATTCATGGCTGCTTCATGACCATTATTCCTGTACAATTTAACAGGTAAAGTTCCAGCCCTGTTCTTCATTGTTTCTCTGATGAACATGACTCCACCTATTCCAACATCTGGTCGTGTTCCCCTTTATATAATATTCTTGTAGCTGTTTTATGCATCAAATAATGCTTATGTCAATAAGACTAATATTTCATACAGGAATTCAATAATATGATAATGATTTGGTAAAGTGTTTGGCATTTTAAACAGTTAATCATTTCAAGGACTCCCTCCATGACTAAACCAAAAACTGGCATATATCCAAACACAGAATGTTTGGTGCTTCATGTGAGAGAGACTCCATACAGAGTTTCTATACAAATGGTCAGCAATATTGACATTTCTATGGCATAGGTATTGTTGCTGGAAAGGTTGGCATTATGCAGCAATGTTACAACACCTGACTCCATTAAAGCAACAGATTTTTGTTTTGACAGAAACTGTGCCCTGAAAGCTGAAGACCATTTATGACCTTGCCTGATATTTTGAGAAGTTAACTTGCATGAATGGCAGAATAATCAATATACTTTTTTTGTTTCTGTAATTTTGAATAGTAGTATTAGCAGGGACGTGTTCTGCATATTGTCCCATTACTCTGATGCCAAAAGAAAGCATCATATGGTATAGATGTCTAAGAGCATGAACTCTGTAGTTAAAATCATGTCTGATAACAACTACTTTTCCACATGAAGGGTCATTCTTACAAGTTAAAAAAAGTATTGCTGTCTACACATACAATTATATTATTTCTTACTTTGTGAAGTGTTCTAATTACGTTTTCCTTAAATAATATTCATTTATTGATAAAGATATTGCTAAATTAATTATTTAAGAATATGGTAAACTAGAGTAATTAACTTTTAACTCAGTTTATTTAAAGTTAAACTAAAGAAGATACTTAGTCATATTCTTAGATAAGCGATTGTGATTAAATCTATGTCACTGCAGTGCATTTAAACTAAATGTCTACAACTTTTATTTTTATATAAATAAAAGTTTTATATAAGGGAACAGTCTAAAAGTAGGTAAAATGTACAAAACGCTTAATAATTGCGGGATGTCTGGGGGCTAACAACGCTAGAAATCAGGTTTAGATACTCGTGGTGGTCAGAGCATAGATAGCCCTTTGTGTAGCTTCGTGCTTAACTTCAAACAAACAATAAACGCTTAATTATACTAAAAGTAAAATTGGCTTAATGTTTTTAAATTCGAAACATTCACATAAAAAATAACGTTATGAAGTCACGTTTATCAACTTAATGTGAAGTGTGTTTAATGAGGGAAAATTTTCTTTCTATGTTGTTTTCATTACTGAAGATGTCCAATCTATTGTATGTAGAGATGGGAAGTGCCTCAATTACAATATGCAAAGTTTCTATGTGAATGTTTCAAATTTAAAAACATTAAAGCATTTAAAATGTCCCCTTTTAGTTTTATAATAACGGCTTAGATTGCTAAACTATTATAAGATTTTTGTACATGAGAAAGAAGTAGAATGTCCTGAAAAAAAATTATAAAGTTTACGTAATGATCTTATTTGTACTTACCATCTTCCACGGATCCACATGATTATGTCAAAAACAAATTCTGGAATTTGCTGATTTTGCTCATGGAAACGTAAAAAATGACACCAGGAGTCCAAAGGGAAAAGGTATTTGAAAGATTTGAATGTCTGCACTGATTACAACGTTTTTTAATAGTTGGGGCTAAGAAACTATATTTTAATTTTCTGTAGGATATGTGGAAATTGTAAGAATAATTTATCCATTTTAAAATCGCTTATACTTTTTTCTAAAGAAAAAAGTTGTGAAACAAAGAAAAATAAAATATTTAATATTTTAGACAGGTCACATGACGGGAATCCAGAAAACAGGATGATT